TTCTTAGCCCTGACTCTGGCTAAGAATCAAATCTGGCCTGAAAAAGGGTAAGCTGTTAAATCGACAAGTGCAGAAATGATGGAAATGTCAGAGACAAAGGCGAAGGAATCAGAGATTTATGGGCGGTTTTCTCCTCTCCACGTTTCCCCCGGGTAGTCGGCAGGCTATTCCTTCCGGTCAGGGTCGTCAGACCCACCCCACCATTTCCATTTCCATATACAGAAACTTGCATCCCTCTATGTGAACCGCTTTATGAGCAAAATTCGCCAAAATGGTTACACCAAATGGGCCATTCTCCTGAATGGAGCTCACTGAGGATGAGTTTTGTTGACTCCATTTATCTGACTGCCCGTTGTTCCACACCAAATCCACCGAATGTTGTTGTTGTTGGATGACCAATTCTATGAAATTGTACGACTCTGCTGCCCTCACGAGTGAATTCAGCTCGGTTGGTGCTGTTGCTTGTTTTTTTTTTAGTAAATGATTGACTACGTCACGGGCGGAGGACTGACGGAAGCCAAGTAATGGAGAAAGGGAGAAGAAAGCCTGATTTGGATTCAGGGTCATTTTCTTCTCTCTCCAAAGTCCGATTTGAGGAGAAAGAAAGCCGAGAAAATGATGAAAGACTTCTCGGCCATCCAGGATCCAATGTGTTTGTCTCATCCCCAGAGATTCTACACGTATTTCTGGTATGACGTCGCTTACATAAGGCACGTGGGTTGGCTAAGTACATAGGATACGCAACTACTAACAAGATGTAAGCAGTTGTGAATTCGAACTACTTCAACTAAGGAAAAATGTATGTTTCTAATTTTTTGAATATTTTCGAATGCCTTAGAAAAAAATCAAAATTTCAAAAAAGTTGGGGTTTAGATTGGATCTGGAAGTATATATAATTGTGCAAAATTTTCGAAAACCGAGAAAAATTGGATTTTTGGTGAGAGTTTGAACAAGTGAAAACAGGTCTTTTTCCCTGTTTTTGGCCCATTTGAGTAGGTGTGGCCGACGTAAATGGTATCAAACCACTTGGGGATTTGTGTTCACTCATGGGATACTCTAACAGATCCAAAGGGCATCGAAATCTGAGGGTGGCAAATAGTGAAGATTTCCTCTTAAGTTAAGAGTCTTAAGTAATTCCTTCCGGTTGAATTTTAAATTTTAAACTTGTTACTTTCCCCACAAATTTCGAGTAAAAGTGGAAAATTAATTGTTCTAATGAGTGCATCGGTTTGTGTTATGCACTCGCACTCCAGAGTAACACTGGGGACGCTGTATCACTAATGTCAATTAATAATGCAGCCGCATTTAGAAATCCTTTTACCGGCGTCGTTTATTTGTATTTCCTCACTAATTATCTCTCATTTCCCCCTCTTAATAAAACATCCCATCCCATTATCTATCTACCACCACGTTTAAGCCTCACAATGACCTCCACCTCCTTCCCCCTAAATTACATATACAGTCTTAAAATACACCTACTTAAGCACAGGGAAAGGTTAGCGATCCGTGGCACATTTTTTTTTAGAGAAGTGCAAATGTATGGAATCCAAGTCCAGTGAAAGTGAATCTCCCCACAAATCATCCCCACGGAAAAGAAAAGGACAGGCTGATAAATCGAGCAGATTTCCTTTCTTTCTTTAAGACGGGACATGTTACCAACAAGAAGAACCAAGAACCATCATGAATAATAAGCGGATACGAAATGAAATGAATCTGTTTTTTTTCTCTTTCTCTCTCTTTGCTTAGATTGTGCCATTCTGAGTGATTGATTGATTGTCCGTGAGTGAACGTGTAGGTGTGTATGTACACATACATACCTTGCCAAAAAAAGTAGTGGAGGAGAGAATGATGAAAAATAAGGTTGTTCCCTCACAAAATTATTCCCTTCATCCATCAATTTTTCCACGAGGTGAAGCGATTTAAAGAGACAATTCGTATTATTCGACGAATATATCACATCTCATGACGAGACAATCTTTGAGAAATCCAGTGAAACCCACAATTTCATCCATACGCTAAATTATAGTGCGGCGTCCCACACATTTATTGCCAGATTTTGTCAGATTTCTGAAAAAAATTGTCCGGAGACGACGACAACGATCAAAATACCTACAATTTCTTCCATTCATATGCTAAATTATCCCATATTTATTGTAAAATCACCAGATTTCTGAGAAATTGTCCGAGATAATCGGCCACCACGACCACGACGATGACGACCACGACCAAAATTCGATCCAATCAGAAATGAAAATGGAGAAAGACAAGGAACGAAACCTTAATTTTCCGGAAGGAAACCTTATGTCTCTCAATAACCGGATTCGCCCAGTTTCATCTCCACCCACACTTTTAGCAGTGCTCTCATCTTCCTCCATTTTTTCGTCACACGAAACATGCACCCCATGGAGTTCAAGCATTTATGTATTTAACATCGTTATTCTACACGAGTGGAAATGAAATTTGTATGCATGTATGTATCGGGAGGAGGGAGGAAATTGTGACCATAAGTTATTTAGAAGATGCGCCAGCAAAACGAGATGCAATCCACGTCCACATCTCACTTACTTACTTAGTCTTCACTAACTTTATTAAATCTGGGTACGTATATTTCTACACTGTAAAGTTGGGTCGTTTTGCCGTCGAAAATAGGACAAGATGCGTCCCTGAACTTACTCAACAAGCTAAATCTTAAGTAAATGATGTCAAGCCTCATTTCCGTCGAGTTTTAGGAATATGATTACATTTACGCGACTACGTAAAGTGTCTCCACTTAAATATGTATGTAATTCTCGCTCAACCTCACCCACTCAAATACACCAGCGCCTCAATATATTTTCCTAAGAAATTGACAAAATGGGTGTAATAATTTCTCCAAATTTACATACGTACGTATCATTTGCCAAAACTTGTAAAGTTTTTAAGGACAGAGACGACGGGGCAATTTTCCTCGTTACGACTACGAACTTTTCCGCATAAAAATATCTACATACTTTTTTTAAGTGGATGAGAGAGAAATTATCTGTGTAGACGAAGGTCTATGAATTTTTTTAACCGCGTCGTTCCTATTTTATTTTTAGCTGGATAATAATTATTTCGATTAGTTTAAGGACGTAATATTTTTTGACAGTGTTTCGTTTCTTGCGGGTTTGCTACACTTCTTGCAATGCAAAGCAAGAAATGGGAGAAATGCGAGATGCAAAAAACTGCAAGAAAGTGCAAAAAATATGCTGCATAAGTTTCTTAAGTCTCGGATTTTTTGCAGATCAAAATTGCCCACAAAAAACACTTTCTTCCCGCCATTTCTTGCAATTGGTTACTTTCGCCTGAAACGAAACACTAATTTTCCCATATGCACCATCCGTGCACATAATTTTGCCCAAATCTTAACTTTAATACCTCCCTATTCCACAGGTCAGTCAACTTTCCTGCCACGCCGATCTGCATTAATTCCTCGTTTTGATTACTAATCCGGTAAAGTTTGTGTGGCAGGGTATGTATTTGCAAAACTGGATGAAAATCTGGTGTCATCGTCGCCGTCACTCTCCGTCAGACAGACTTGAACTTCACTTCATTACCAAGTTAATCAAATTATTTCTCACTTTCTCCACTTTCGCACTTTGTCAAATCAACCGACTCCCTCTAGTCAAATATGAGCCTGTTGTGTTCCTGGGTGGGACAAACTTTTACTTTATTCACACTTTGAATGGCTAAAATATTCAAAACATTGAATTTTACTTTGCTCGTCATGAATGAATTTTGCTATTCAAAATTTTTGCAACTCGCAAAATGCTGACTGGCTGACTTGTCACTCAGTTTTTCTCATTAAGGCGATTATTTTTTTTACACATCACGACATCGGTTTACACTTTACGCCCAAAATTGGTCACTCGAGAGGTGCTTTGTTTGCTTTTTGCTTGCATAAAATAAAATTTACAAGTTTTCGCGGATGCGAAGATATCGTTTGCCTTGCCCAAGAAAGAACTAGCCAAGTAAGCAAATTTAATGGATGCAGTCAGAAAATGGTGCGCCTAAGCGAGTGAAGCAACGTACCGGAAACGATGCCCTTAAAAAATTGCCTCTTCTTCTTCGCATACAAAAAAAACTACTACTGAAAAAAATATTGTGTGTGCATGTTCAGTGGCCGCGGAAGCTGTGGGGGCATTAACATTGTAAGATAGGGGAGGGAGGGGTTTATATAACATGGGCAGATGATGGGAATATCGAATAACCGTGGGGACATTGCCCCTCTGTTCCCACGCTTCTGCGGCCATTGTGTGTGCTCAATGGCAGCTTACATAATAAAAAATACATGTAAGTACATACACTCATAAATTTGCATAAATACATAATTGTGCAGCTAAATCGTTATGTAATTCTACGTATTTATTTACTCACTCAGCAGAATTACATAAAAGTGGGTTGATTTAAATACGCTGCATTTCGCAGGCACTTGCGAAATTGTAAATTTGGAGTGCGAATTGCAAATGAAATGAGACACTCGTCACGTCCACGTCCACGTCGCTCCAATTGTGGTGGAAGAATCAGTTTGATTTATTTAATTTTGCACCGATTGTGTTAATACCAATGCTTAACCCGGATCGTGCCCAGCTTGTAAAACATGCCATCCTATCTGCGAATAATCATTTATGAAAACGGAAATTGAACGCAGAACTCGGTTTTATATTTATGAAAAGTGAGCCTAACGAAGTGAACGAAGTAGGGCGAGAAGATTTATTAAGCTGGGAAAGTGAGTGACAAACGGGATTAAATTAGTGTTAATTTACAACTCCCAACTTTTGTCCGTGATCTGGTCTGCCTGCACTGCACTCATTGTCAGACAATATTTTATGATGGCGATGAAATGATAAGTTTCAAACTTGGGGCTGACTGAGAAACAAAGTTTGTTTTCTGATGAGATGCATAATATTATCGGATGGATTTTACGTAATAAAAATAAAATTGGGTAATAAAAAATCTGGTTGATTTACAGTCTTTCTTACCTTTTCTTATGTGGTTATCGTCATCATGATGGCTCGATTAGCGGCAGATTTTTTGCTTATCTTGCACCATTTATTTCCTTCTCCAAAGTTGCCAACTTTTGCGAGACGTCTCAATTTGTACGTGCTTCTTGATCTCTTGGATTCGACTTATTTCCAACTTTACTCCATAATAAATAGTTGGAAATGAATCTGCCCTTTCTAAACTCTTCGGTTCTCTCAATCTCACTCCGATTTTAATTTACTTGACATAAACTAAACTAAACAGAGAGAAAGAGTGGATTCTACTGGATTAATTTAATTTAAGGAGAGGAAGAAAATTCTGGAGTGGATTACCCAGATAATCTGGGAATCGTGCTACTTACTAGTTAGAAATTGATATCGGATTCTCTTCTTCCGTGGCAAAATTAATTGATGGAATGGCTGATAAGACAATGTAATGAACGGGGTGTTGTTCGCCGTAATGGATTTTTTTAGAGGAGAATGAGACACGGACTTGTTGTTTAATCGGAAGAAGAAGGTTTGCACTTTCACCCAAGAGAGAAAGTGGGCCGAGAGAGATAAACTTGTGTTCGCGTAGTCTGGTGGTGGTTGATGGCAGACTGAGACGGGAGGAAGCAAAACGCCCCGATTTTATTTTCTCCCCTTTTTACCCTCTTAACTTAACCAGGATTTCGGGGAGATGAGATGAGATGAGACGACGAGGAGCAAGATGGTGTATAAGAAATCAAGCGTAACAAGTGAACGGAAGGGTGAATACCTACATTGTATTTACAAAAAACGGGCTAAAAGAATTCGGTTCGAGTATTATTTACAAATACATTTGCTCAAGATGTGTCGTGTAATGGAAAAAAAAACTGTGTAACCACTTTCGGGCGGTGCTCCCAAAGAATTGTATTATTTTGAGAGAAAGGAGATAAGGAAAGTCAGTAAATATTTTGTAAGAATGAAGTAAAGTGTCCAGTTTCAGGTCGGTAATGCGGACTAGTTGCATCATCCGGTTCAGTACTGCTATTATCTAACACGCCGGTATGATATCGTCGCCCTGTAATCGTTAGCATCTCAGCAGAACCAGGGTCATAGAGTCCAGGTCAAGGGAAGTAGTAGCGTAAGGGGGACGCCAGGACTGATAATGGAGGTCTTTGAGTGTATGCTCTCTCTGATTTTCCCTAAACTAGTGTAAATCGATCACAAATTTAGGTAGTATGAAATTTGCAAACGACACGATCTCCCATTTGCATCCGAAGAGGAGAAAACGTGCAGTAAATTTGGTAAGTGCGAAATTTGTCAACTCTAGTGCGAATTTTCTCCTCTTTGGATGCAAATATCTCTGCCAAATGGGACCATTGGGAGATAGTGTTTGTTTGAAAATTTTATACTAACTAAATTTGTGATCGATTGACTCTAGTTTGGTCGCATACGAATTGGAAAGCATACGCTGGGGGACCTCCATTATTCGACAACGCTTTCCAAAACGAAATCTGGATCAAGTGGGAAAAATCTCGTATTGACTTTAGGATCACTTTTTAAATTGAAACTTTCCACTCTGCGAATTCATTTTGTTCTCACGGGATAAAAAATCGGGAACGAAATTGTTTATTCTAGAAAGTTGTTGGATATAAAAATTTCACGGTTTTCTGGTTTCGATTAGAAGAACATGATACAAAAAAGGATGACTTGAATGGCACCAAGACACCATTTTTCCAGGCCGACGACATAACAATGTTGTCACACACATTGTGAATCCGTGATGGATGGTGCATTTTTGAGGGAAAATATTAATTGTCATCCTTTCCCATGCATCCTTTCCAATTTTAAGTTTCCAAATATTATTTTTCTACTTTCGCCATGTTTTCATTCATTCTGCGGAGGAAATAAATTGACGTTTAGAAAGTTCCCTCCTCTCGAAATTATGGTCGAAATTGACTTGGCTGGCTCATCACTTTCTCCACATTTAACTATGCTTTCTCTCCGCTCGTGTGCTTAATTCTTTTATGTATGCTGCCTGCCTCCTTTTTTAAATTTCCTTGCCAAGAACAGACAGGTTTTATTTTTTTCTGAAAATATAAAAAGTTGAGAGGAATTACATTTCCTTCTTGTCAATCCCTCGTGGTTCAAGTTGCTCAAGGATTCTTGTTCACCACCACTTTTAAGAAGAAGAAAGAAGCTAATCGTCGTAGGTCTGGTTTTTGTTTAATGGGGCTCAACTCTCTTACTTTACTCACTCTCTTGATGATGATGCCGTATGTATGTGCTAATCCTTGGCTAAAAGTTTGCGTAATGATAATGATATGTCGGTTCTACTCACAAAGTAAAAAGGACTGGAAAAAATCCTCCTATTTATGTGACAGGTTAAATTTAGTAAAAAGTTGGAGTGTAATGGACGCGGGTACGATTATCTGCTCAAATCGATCCTGAATTGAGACAAAGTTTAAGACTTTGGATGAAAAATATGACACAGTTAAGCTGCATAATGTAATGTCATCTGCGTGTGTGTAACCGTATTGTAACTTTCTCCGGGAGCGATGCCGAGTAGAAAGTACTGTGTCGAATTCTGCAATAATCGGTAAAAATTCGATGCAAATGGGGTAATCTTGCATAATTTTGTTTCCATAATTTCTACGGGTTTTATTCTGCAGTACGCCATGTGCATAATTCTGCATAATTTTCCAAATAAATCACTTTGCATAAAGGTTTTCTTTAAAAACTTGGGCCACATTTCTGCAGAAAAGCCGTACAAATTTATACTCTGGCCCGAGTAGGAGTCACAGTTTCGAATTCTGTAGTAGTCGACAAAACTTTGATGCATATTGTATTCTGCAAAATATTTTTTGTATAATCCTGCACAAAATTTCTATATAGTTTTCTGCACAAATCGCTCTGCATAACGTTTCTCTCCACAAATTTCTGCATAAAAATCGGCCACATTTCTGCAAGAAAGTGGTACAAATTTTCACTCGGGTACACGATTGCTGAACCGCTCCCAGCTCATAAAACGGGTTTATTTTATTTTATGAATGTCATCCTGTCCAAGTTTGGTGTACTTTGTAATGTCTCTCTGTGTGTGCAGACAGGCAGTAGGTTTATGTAGGCCTCGGATTTTACGAACTGTGCTGCAACATATGCCACGGTCGTAAGAAGACATGCACTGATTCGCAGACAGTAAATAAATACGTACGCCACTTGTAACACGGAGGAAGAAGGAACTTTTTATGATCTCCTCATGAACTTATTTGAGTTATGTTGCTTACCTTGTCTTAAATTTAGTCGACTTTTACGGCACCATTTTCCACTCAAAATGTGAGTTGTGTATCTTGTACCTTCTTTTGTCATTTCTGGTTACGGGGGGAAAGTTTTATAGGTTTTCGAAAATCATGGGAATATTTATGATAATGTAATCAATCCTATTTTTGACCGGATCAAAGGCGAAAAGTATTTGTAAGATGGGCGAAAAATAAAATACAATATTTTTGGAAAATGTATATAAACTCTCGACAAAAAAAGAGAAAGTTGATGCGCTGTATTTATTTTTTCGTATTCTTTTTGTGGAGAAAAGTACAAAATGAAAGGTAATCAAACTTTTTTGACCGGCGAAAAGTATAAAATGCACGAAAGACCAATATAATTTTGAAAAATGCGTGGATAAATTTTCATAAAAAAAGTTGTTGCCGTATTTATTTTCTGATATGCTGTTTGTGGAGAAATTCAAAATATAATCATATTTTTTGACGGGTGAAAGGATGGACGAAAAACCAAAATGTTTTTGAAAAATTTATAAATTCCCGTCAAAAAAAGATAAAGTTGTTGCTGTATTTATTTTCTCGTTTACTTTTTGTGGAGAAAGTCAAATACTGCAACACAATGGGTGGAAGTAAGTATTTACGGGTGAAGGTCACGTTTTGCGGGTGTATGATCATCAACTCAAAAAGCCATCAATAAGGTTAGTGAGCCGCAACGGAACGACGACCACTGCTGGGTTTCTTTCTGGCGAAAGAGAAAGTTTTTTTGGGATTTGAAGGGATGTAGGCTCCCTTCATGACCAAGCTCAGCGAGGGAAATGATTATGATGTGGGTGGTCAGATCACTGTTTTTTACTAGTTTTTTCTTCCTCTTATGTACACTCTTAGAAATCCGGTATTAAAATAATACTACGCGGTATTCATATATAACTCCACCAAAGTGGAATTGGTGAATGGGTCTTATTTAACTGATCATAATTTAATACTACTTCTGACCATAATTAATACTTTTTTCCCAAATACTTTCTTTCATCATAATGGAATCTAATTTGACCATAACTAGAATACTGACTTATTCATAATAAATCCTCCGTCTACCAGAGCCAAGTTATTGGCGAATACTCTTCAGTTTTTTCTGCCAGAGCGAGGATTATACAAGTATTGAGTAAAAATATATCTTTGTTAAACATAGCAGGGTCAGTGCGGGTTAGTTAGGCCACTTTTTTCCGAATCTGCGTTCTTCAGTGAAACAAAAAATTGTTCCGAGTCAAAAATACTTATGTTAAACATCATGCATTATCAACTTACTATTTCGCTTTAGTTTATGATCAACCAAAGTTTTAACATATAATTGGAAGTAATATTTATCAATTATGTAAAATAAAGAAAACAAGTGTTCACATTAACCCCACCAAATTGGGTAAGTGGGGCCAGTGGAGGGGTTAGTGTGGACACGCATTTGTTTTAATGCAAATATATTTGCATAATAAAATGCTTTTCGAATTCATGCCAGATCGAGGATTATACAAATATTGCGTAAACTATTTTTTTAAAGATGGAATTTGAAAATTAGAAAAAGTTGATACATAAAACGTGACTTAAAATGCTGCAACGTTTAAGAAATGATTGCCGCTACCTATGTTTTTCGAAAAAACATTTAAAATCTTCCAACGCTGTTCTCAATTACTCAATTACCGATCAAATTAAAGGTTTCGCAGCCTCCACCAGACGCTAAATGTATACCCATTGAAGAGAAATGCAAGCGTGGTAGACCAGAAAAACATTCAGAGAAATTTGTAATTGACTAAAAATCGAAAAGTTTGTAAAGTTTTTTAAAGTTTCATATTTTCAAGCGATTTTAAAGTGTATTTTTACTTATGATAAAATCGAGTAATTATTATACACAAGGAATCACTTTATTATGGTGAGAGATAGTATTCGGGGAAAAAGTATTAATTATGGTCAAAAGTAGTATTAAATTATGATCAGTTAAATATTATCCTTGGTGAATAATAGTTTGTAATAATAGCTGGGTATTAAGTTTTACCACATCGGTTGCAAATTTTTACGGACCCGTAATAATTTTAATGCCAAGCAGTAGTAGAACCTAGAAATCAATACATGACGATACCAGATTTTTAAGAGTGTAGCGAAACAAGTGCAGCACTTGCGATAAGTTGAAACTTTTAAACTTTAACCCAATGCCTTTTTCTGTTTTGGAGCTTTTCATTATAAAAAAAAGTCTGCAACAAATTTTCCTTTGCCAATTTTATCTCGTCATTTTCACTGATTTTTTTGGAAATTTTGTATTGTAAAAAAATTCCTCTAACAAATTTTCCCCGATCAGATG